AAAAAAAAAAAGAGTAAGGAACTTGCCCAAAGGCACACAGTTGGTAAATGGTAGAGCCTGGATTCAGACATAGATAATTTGGATTCAAAGCCTTTCTTTTCTACAATCACGATTTATTAGTTTTCTTATGTCTGTTTTGTCTTTTGCAATGATATCTAAGAAGTATGGAAAGATAAATGGGTATGTTTAGGCCATCATTTTGTAATGGAAACCCATTGTTTTTATTACACCAATATTGTTTTCACACCACACTTTTAATTGGTAGAAATATCTTTCAGAGAAAATGCAGGTTCTAGAGAAGGAATCCAGTGACAGAAAACGAGCCCCTTGAAACTGTTAAATCAGAATCAACAGAGGTAATGCATAGGATTCCCAAAATGAAAGACTTAAAAGTGGCAACTTCAAGAGCATAGATTTTTTTTTAATCTAAGAAAACGATAAACGACAGCATTTTTGTGTTCTCAACAACTCTAGTTTACTGCCACATCACCAGAGAGAAGTTGAGAACATACGAAAATTTTGGTCCCATCCTATTTATTCCCTGACAGTGGCCTTAATAATTCAATTCAACTGAAATACATATGATACGCCTACCACTTGCACTGTGCTACAAACTGGAGACAGAGAAATGTCAGGCACTGTCCCACCATCCCTGCCCTTGCAGAGCTTACAGTCTAACGGCAGGCACGGACAAGGAAACTGATGACTGTAATTCAGTGTGATAAGTGCTATGACACAGGCAGGTACACCGAGGGTGCCATCGGGGCAGAGACAGGCCTTCCCAGGAACTTCCCTGGAAATAACTCTTAACCTGAGGGCTCAAGGATACATTATTATTGGTTTGGGGAGATTAAACTGAATGTATCATCCTCTCTTCAAATCTGCCCCACTCTCCACCCATTTAACATGGGTAAAGAGCACACAGGTCCACACAGAAAGCTCCTCCTCTTCAATATTAGTCGAATCAAGTGTCATCAAATTCTACTTCCTTATATTTCAAATCAACTCCCTACTCTCTACTCCTAGTACAACTACCTTCACTGCAGTCTCCATCGTTTCTCACCCCAATAGCTGTAATAACCTTGTAATTAATCTTTCAATTAAATATCTTCACTGGTTAAAAACACAAAATGATTCTGAAAACTTCCCTTGGGTTGTACCCCACTTGATCTGGACCTTCTCCAGCTTCTTCTCTCCTTCCCCCTTCCCCCTATGCTGAACCCCCTACGGTTCTCTGGAGACTATGCTCTGTTTTGCCTAACTGCCTTTCCTTAAGCTATGTGGTCCCCATGATTTGAGATGTTCTCCCTTGCTAACCCTCCCTTGCTAACTAACACCTACTCAGCGTTTAAGTACATCTCTTCTGAAAGGTCATCCTGATGGCCACTCCTCTGTCTGTGCTCCCCACAAGCTGAGTCAGGAGCCTCTTCTGTGCAATCCCATACCATGCTACCTCACCAGGACACTTATCACAAAGAATTACACTCAAATTATTTTCTGTAATTGTTTATCTGATTCTCTGTTATTTAGATACTGAGCTGATACACTGCCTGCTACACAGGAGGCAATCAAGAAATACTAAAAGAATGAAAGAATGAACGAACGAACGGAGAGAGTTAAGTCTGTGAAAGCTGATGAGAGAACCAAAGGAGATAATGGAGAGAAGGACAGAACGCTGGAGAAATGCCCACCTGTAGTGGGTAGGAAGAAAGAAGCTAGTGAAGGAAACAGAATGAACAATCAAAGAGAAGAAGAAAACATCTAGGATTGTACAGGAAAGTAACCCAAAAGAAGAGAAATATTTAAGAAGGTGCAGGTGGTCAACAGCATCAAACACTACAAACAGGTCAAAGAAAGCGAGAACTAAGACAAGACCACTGATTTAGAGGCAGTCACTGGTGACTGATGCTGGTGACTGATGCTGGTTTTACTCCCACAGGCAGAGGCCATCTTCCTAGGCCATTCATTGTTGGAGGCAATTTAGGGCTTGCAAAAGAACCAAAGATATGCGACTTACCTGTACTAATCTCTTTTTTCCATGACTGAAGAATTGAAAAACAGAATATTCAAAAGGAAATAAAATCTCACCATCCAGATATAATGTTGGTTCAGTTTCCTTTGTTTTTTTTTTTTTATGTTTATATTTGTACAAAATTGTATTATATTAAATTCTATATCCTAATTAAACAATTTCTTAATTGTACTTAAATTTAGTCAGCCCAAGTTAGCCTTCCCATTGTAAATCAATAAATTGGCATTTTAACTTATAAATAGAAAAAAGAAAAAAATGTTATAGAATTCGATGTGCCACTTGTTTGGCCACATATGCAAAAATGGTTTTGTCATATAATATTAGAATTATCTCTTAGTCTGTATCAATAAAATCATTATTCATTCTAAAAGGGAGCATAACACCCTAAGTATCTTATTTTGACCATTAAGTCTAGATTTCATTCTTTCCATGCTGTGGAACATGGCTGCTAAAAATAGATTAGGTACTAGATATAGAAACATCTATAGCAGCTGCAGGATTTTTTTTTTTTTTTTTTTGGTAATAATCTTCAGTCAAAATTAGATATACTGGCTTATAAATAATTTAATAAAGTCTAAATCATCACATTAAGTATGCTTGTCTGACAATTTGCTATATCTAGAAAAACAGTGTGAACCAGTTTTCAACCCTCTTCTGAGATTCTTTTTCAGTATGGAGTATGTTCTGGTAGAAAAAATAAGAAATAGAAGGAATGCAACACTTCTAAAAGTAAGAATTACAAGGTCAAAGGATGTCAACATTTTTAAGGTTTTTTATATCATATAGCCAAACTGAATCCAGATAGGCTGTGTTAACTTTACACTTCCCTCAATATATGAGCTTCACGTCCCCACACTTTTGCCAACACTGGGCATTCTTATTTTTAGCCTTTAGCCAACCTCATACGTGAAAATGAGATCTTATTAATTACCATGTTTATGTAACAATAGTGAAAATAAGTATTTGTTCATATTTACTGATGCTTCCTTTTTCTGAATTGATTATTCATGTTCTTTTATCTATTTTTCTAGTGGGCATTTGCTTTTAAACTATTGATTTATAAGAGCTCTTTATATATTCATGGTAGTAACCATTTGTTACAAATATTTCCCCCTTTTAATTTATCTTGTTATTTATGGTTTTTGACATAGAGGTTTTTAATTTTTATACTGTCACATCAGTTAATCTTTATTTATTCCTCAGATGATATTTAGAAAGTTCTTTCCCACGCCCATATTTTATAGATTATTCACTCAAAGTTCTCTCTCATACGGCTACAGTGGAATAATACTGATATCAGTTAGATGATTTATTTCTACCATCTAGTACACATTAAGTGTTTCTAACTCCCTAAAACTTACAGTTCCAACTCCAACAGTGGTCAATATGAGACACAGGTTTAAAATTAAGTTCTAGACTTTTCTTACTCCAATTTCAGCTGTTTAGACAATTTTTAAAAACCAGAGTTTTGACTTTAGAAAATTCAAAGTTCCCTTTAACCCATATGAAGCACAGATCTCTTGCTAGTTATCACCCACCTCTCAAAAACCTGTTAGGGATCCTTATGATGGGACAGGACTGAATGAAGCGCCTCCTAACTGGGTCCCATCGTATTTTCTTCTTACCTGTTACCACAATCATCAGCAATAAGTCAGACACATACAACACATGGCAAATAATACATAGTTACTGTAGTTATAAAGACAGAAAAACAGGAAACAAAACAATACTTGAATACAGAAAGAAGTGATGTAAAGTAGCATTTAACCCTGTTTTGGAAGTCAAAACAAAATCAAATTAATATACAAGCAGTGATGAAGGTATTCAACTCACCCCCAAAGAATGCAAACAATATGTGCACCATTTTTCAGAATTCTGGTTCAACAGAACATGCATTCAATAATCACCAATGCCATCTTGTGGCAAAAATTCACCAGTAGCTTTACAAACAAATTAGAAATTATGACATTTTAAAAAATCAGTGAATGTCAAAAAAGGAGCACTGACTAAAATTAACTCGGCATAATGCAGGCTCCTGTTCTCTTCCGGGTTTGGTATTCTTTTATGGGTTATATGGTTAAGAGGATAAAGCAATGGGCACCATTCTTTGAATATGAAATAAGCAGATCTTGCTATAATTAAAATGTCATGGTGACAACCAAATAAAGCAAACATTTAATATCTTGGCACTTCCACTGGGAGAGAGAAAAAAGGAAATTCATCTGCCTTCCAAGGAAGCAAACCAGTTCCATATTAACCCCAATTAAAGCTTGTTTTCTTGTAATATAGTAGAGAAATACAAAGCATTATTGAACTGTTAAAGGAATAATTTTGTCTCTTTCCAAAGTTTTGATAGCTCCCAAAGATGGCTTTTATTGGCAATACGAAAAGTTAACATTTGTATAGAGTTTAAAGTTTATAAAGAGCTTCCACGCATGTTACCTCATTTGATCCTCACAACAATCCTGTACGGCTTCAACAGTTATTTCATGAAGCATCTGCTATGCCTTGAGCCCTCGGCCAGGCTCTAGCATAGCGCAAGGATATGTCCCCTACCCTCAACAGCTCTTGGTCTTATGAGGAAGGCAGATGTCTAAACAAACAATTACATTACAGTGAAGTAACTGCCATAACAGTGGCCGTAAAGACATTTTGAGAAAGATGTTATCATCTTAATTTTACAAGCCAGGTAGCAAAGCGACTTAATGCCTCACCCAGGATCCAAGCTCAGCCTGACTTTAAAACCTGCCCTCTTTCCACTACACCACACTTCCCTGTCTCATATTCATTAGAAAGCGTATAGGTTTTGGGTTTGGCAGTTGCAAATACACTTAGATGTTCGTCAGCAAGGTACTGGTACACAAATCCTGTGCGATGAAAAGGCATTACTGGTGCGTGCGTTATGCACTTCATACTGTGGAGTAGACAGACTCCTTGGCAAGGGGAAGAATTCTTTGTTTTGTAAAAGGGGTTATCTTTTAACTGTCTAAGTCTTTTAAATCAGCAATGCCCAAATCTTGGTCTACAGACCACTGCTAGGCTAAGGTGAAGATTCACCAGTCCAAAACAAAATGAGAAAAAAGCGGACAAGGTAGTGATTTGTTTTTTTTTTTAAAGGAAAATGTTCCATTTAAGTAAATGGCCTGTCCTTTTTTCAGAGATTAGAAATTTTTTTTGATCAAATATGCTTCATTTTATGAGATGAAGGTTAGAGGAAATGGTTAGTTGGTTTTGGTTGAATTATTCTTTCTTAGAAAAACAGAAAATGTTCAAGGTCTATGTGTATCCCCAAAATATACATATACATATATATACATATATATGTATGTATGTGTATATACATATATATGTGTATATATATATTTTTTTAATTACAAATTTATGACATCCAAAAGTCTGGAGAATCACAGGTTAAATCAATACAATTTTTGTTGATGACTCATAAGACCAACATTATAAACCACACTGTCAAAGGATACATAAGATGTATAAGAAACTTCCCTTGCCCTCAAGAAGCTTATATTCTAATTAGGGAGACAAGACAGACACATAAAACAATTAGATAGCAATACAAGACAGAATATAACAAGTGATTAGCTTAAAATTTGACATTTTTATGTATCAAAAGTGTTAAAATGTACATACCCTTTGACCCAGCTATTCCACTTCTAGGAATTTATTCCTAAAGAAACAATCACAGATGCATGGAAAGATGTATGGACAAAGATACTCACTATGATACTATTCATAATGGCAAAAAATTAGAAACACTTTCAATGTCCAATGATAGGGGGATGGTTAAGTAAGTATGCTAAATAAACATACTTAAATATGTTCATATTTCACACACCACTAAAAAGTATATACAAGAATATTTACTAACATGGGAAAACATTCACAATATATTGCAAACAAAAAAATGCAAGTACAAAATAGTACTAGAGTCTGATACCATATTAGTAAAGAAAAAAGTGCTTGTATAGATTCACGAAAAATACAGGAAGGATGTACATCAAATTTTAATTGTGGTTAACTTTGGGTGGTTATTATGAATGATTTTTGGATTTTTCTCCTTAATGCTGGTCTTTATTTTCCAAGCTTTCCCATTGAGTAGGCATTACTTTTGGACTGGAAGAAAAATAATACCATATTACTTTAATTTATTAATGCTATGTTAAAAAAATACTGTAAAGAAACATTACCAAAGCATTAACAGTGGTTATGATTAGGGTTGAGGGTTATCATCTCTTTTATATTATCCAAATTTCTAGGACATATTTTATAATGGAAAAACACAAGCAAATATAGAATGACACTGAGGGAATAACAGTGAAAATGACTGAATCAAAGTTATAATAAAAATGCTTTTGATGTTTTCTCAGAGCTCTGCCACACATCTTTGGCCTCACTCAGCCGCCAACATGAAGTCTGTCATAGGCATAAGCTAATGTTGAGGTTATTCACACAAGGTAGGCACTGAGAACCCACGTTTTCTTCCTTCACCCAAAGATCAGAAAAAGAGAGAAACCAGCAATAGAGCAAATATATGCCGTTCCAAATTCATATAGATATGTTCCTGGTCTGAAGTTTTGCTTGTTAAAGATTTCATTTGTATAAATTCAAACTGCCAATCTTCATTCGTGATTGCTTCTACTCTTCAAAACAAAAACAAAAAGGATAATTTCTTCAATGATTTCATCAATATTTTACTTTTGCTGATTTTTGTTATTTTTTTAAAGTAATCTCTTCACCCAACATGGAGCTCAAACTCACCACCCCAAGATCAAGAGTCACGTGCTCTACCGACTGAGCTAGCCAGGCACCCCTATTTTTTGTTTTTAAGTGTTTTCTTTTTATTAAATTTATTTAATTATAAAAATGACATAGTCATTGACTGAAACAGGCTATTAGGCCAAGCACATTCTCCTTTCTCCAAAGCCCAGCAAATAACACAAAAGCCATTTTAAAATTTTTTTTAATTTTTAAATTTTTTACAAATCCATAATCAAAAGAAAGCAAGGAATGTCTTCGGTGGACTAACACCATCAGGAATCACTGCAACGTGAGAAACATAGTCCGATACACCCAGAGGAGAGGGCTACTGCAAGTGGTCAGGGCAGACCTCACAGTAAATGAAGCCCAGAGGTGGAAAACAGCAGGAAGAACTGACACAATTTACAGAATTTACAGGTTGGGGGCCAGCACAGAAGTTACAAAGCAGATCAGCCTCTCCCGCTCATTTACCTCTTTGGGTCAACCATTACAGAACAGAGGTATTTGCTCCAGAGGGAAACAGTGGCATCAAAGGAGAGGTGTCCCTCCCCTCCCCAGATAGGAACAATGACGATAAACACCGGATCAGAGAGACAGGACAGAGCCTTGGGTGGATACTAACTCCCAGGTCGAAGAGGGGACGCTCACACTAAAGAAGACCCTGGCAATGGTGGCTCCATCCTACTTCACATTTCATCTCTCCCTACAACCATTAAAGATCTGCTGCAGTAACAGATGTGATATTCACAGGAAGGCTAACTAGGACTCTCAAATAAAGATGAATAAGCAAAAACCCAAGACTCGGACATGAAAAAGACTCAGGCATGAATGTGACAAACAGAGGAACTCAGACTAAAGAAAGAGAGTTAACAAGTTAAATAGAGTAAGACCTTACATCAAGTATAATTAATATCCTCAGAGATATGCAAAGTAATAATACATTTATTAAAAAAAAATCAATTGGAACTCTCAGAAATTAAATTTTGATCACCAAACTAAAAAACCTAGGAACTGAAAAGACACAGTTAAACAGCAAACTAAATTAGTACAATGAAAGATGGGGCCAAGAAATTCACCAGAATATAGTATAGAAGGAAAAAGAAATAGAAAGTATTTTCAAAAGTTAAGATATAAAAGAGAACTGAGCAATTGCTACCAAAATTCCAACTGCCCTTTTTCCAGAAATGGACAAGCTAACTGTAAACTTCATATTGAAATGTAAGAAACCCAGAAAACCAAAGCAATCTTGAGAAAGAACTAAATTAGAAGACTCACACTTCCTGACTTAAAACTTACTACAAAAATACTGTATTCAAAACAACTTAGTACTAGCATAGGATGGACATAGAGATCAATGGAATAGATTTGAAAGTCCACAAGTAAACCTGTACATCTATGGTCAACTGACTTTTGACGAAGGTGACAAGACCACTCAATGGGGAAAAACAGTCTTTTCAACAGATGGTCCTGAATTCTAGATCTACTCAAACTCTCAATCGTGAGAATGAAATTAAGACATTTTTTAATGTACTAGGAAACAAAAATTTTGCTTCTTTCAGACTTCTGGCAAAAGAATTACTCAAAGATATATACTTGGGGCACCTGGGCAGCTCAGTTGGTTGAGTGTCCGACTCTTGATTTCGGTTCAAGGTCATGATCTCACGCTCCATGAGACTGAGCCCTGTGTTGGGCTTAGCCATGTAGTACAAAGCCTACTTGGGATCCTCCCTCTCTCAAATAAATAAACTTAAAAACTTTACTTGGAGCTAAAAAAAATTAATCCAAAAACAACAAACAAGGTACAAGAAAAGAGTAAGGGGAGAAACCAGTAATATCTTGAAGTTAAGTGCTG